TGCAATGTGGGCTTTGCTTTTCTCAGAACTTAGATATGCTTAAACATCAACAAATCCACACTGGACAAAAAACTTATCAATGTCTGGAGTGTGGGAAATCTTTTATTCGAAAAACAAGTCTCAAAATCCACGGGAAAATTCACATGGAAATAAAACCTTATAAATGCTTCAAGTGTGGAAAATGTTTCACTCAGAATTCATCACTTTGCAAACATCATAAAACACACACAGAGGAGGAAAGCAGAACGTGCCTAGAATGTGGGAAATGTTTTTACAGCAAATCAACCCTGCGGCGACATCAGAGAATCCACACTGGGGAGAGACCTTATCAATGTCTGGAGTGTGGGAAATATTTTTCTTGCAAAACAACCCTGCAGCGACACCAGAGAATCCACACTGGGGAAAGACCCCATGAATGCCCGGAATGTGAGGAACGATTTGGGCATTCTTCCGCACTTTGGACACACCAAAAGACGCACACGGGAGAAAAACCCTATAAATGTAACGATTGTGAGAAATGTTTTTCTGTAAAGGGAAGACTTTTTCAACATCAGATAATCCACACAAGGGAGAAACCCTATGAGTGCATTGAGTGTGGAAAATTTTTTCGTTCGATATCAAGCCTCAGACATCATAAGAAAATTCACAGAGGGGAAAGAAATTTCAAATGTTTAGACTGTGGGAGAGCATTTATTCATTCATCTCATCTTAGAAGTCACTGGCAAGTCCATATAGAAGAGAAGCCCCATAAATGCTCGAAGTGCGATAAATGTTTCTCTAGGAGACATAGACTTTTGATACATCAGAGAACCCACAGTGGAGAGAAACCATATAAATGTCCGGAGTGTGGGAAGTCTTTTCCTTGCCAAGAATATCTTAAAAAACACCAGACGATTCACACAGAAAAGCGTATCAGGTCTAAAGAGAAAAATGAAATGTGCTCAGAATGTGGGAGATGTTTCTCCCAAAGGTCACACCTAATTCGACATGAGAGACTTCACACCGGAGACAGGCCCTATCAATGCCCAGAATGCGACAAGCGATTTGTGGAGTCTGCTGAACTCCGGAGACACCAGAGGGGGCACACAGGAGAGAAGCCCTATAAATGTGGGGTTTGTGCGAAAGGTTTTCTTACAGTAACACTGCTTCGAGTTCATGAGAGAATCCACACTGGGGAGAAGCCGTACAAATGTGTGGAGTGTGGGAAATGCTTTTCCCAAAAACAACACCTTAGACGTCATGAAAAGGTCCATAAAACATGGAAGCCATAAAGACTCATAGAGTGTAGAAATCTTTTGCTTAAAAGGGAGATATCAGAAAACTCACATGGGAGAAGGCCTAACAGGCCCTGATGGTGGACCAGTTTTTCATACTGAGAGGTCATGTAAAAATTCTTAAAATTAGAAATTATTAGATCCTGAGAGAGCATTTTTTGTCAATCATCCCTTAAAAATCATACTCTAATCCATATAGGAAAGATGTATCATAAATGTTTCGAGTTTAAATGATTCGAGTTTAATCTAAAATACTCTTTTTCACCATCAGTGAATTCTTACTGGAGAGAAACTTTATCAGAGCTTAGGATGTGGCCAAAGTTTTTACCTGACAATCAGATTTTCAGATGCCCTTGAAAAATCCACACAGGAGAAAAACCTTAACAAGTGTGTAGTGTGAGAAAACTTTTCCTTGCCAATTGGAACATCTTGTCTCCTGGAGTTTGTCCCTTTAAAATGGTCTCCTTGGAAATTTTCTTACCAAGTTAAAAAAATTATAT